TAGTTCAGCTACTTTAGCTTGTCTCATTAATGCTGTTAAGTCTAGTTTTGTTTTTCTAAGTATGCTTTTCCACTGTTCACGTAGTGAACTTAAAACGTTATCGTTCGATTTTAGTTCTTTTCCATATAGTTCTAATTTATCGAATATGTTTAACGATGGTGGTGGCATATTTTCCACAAATCTCTTTTCTATCTTATCTAACTGTAATTTTATATCTAGTGTTCTCATGAATTTTTCATGCGAACGCTGTATGTGTTGTTGCTCTGATTGTGTTCCTGTATTTTTTATTTCTAGTGTTGCTTTTTCTCGTATTTGGTCTAGTAGAAGATTATCTAATCTTCTTTGATCGTTTTTCTTCTTATTTTCAAGCACTTTCTCGATAGTATTCTTTACGAATGATATTGTTGAAGTCCATTCTTGTTTTTCAAAACATGAATGTAATTTATTTTCTCTTTCATTTTCCAGTGTTTTGTATCTTTTCTCGAGTAAGTTTTGATGAGCTTTAATAGCTTCAAATGTACATTTTTGTTTTATTGTTTTGAAAAAATATCGACATTCTATAGGAATTATTGCAAAGTGAAATGATGTCTGTGCTGGTATTACATCATTCTTTGGTACAACTGATGGTGATCCTACCATGGGTTCTGGTGTAAAACTATGTATTGGAGATATTATCATTGATGATGTATTTACTTGACGAAAAATGATAGCGCTCTCAATAGCAAGGATATAATTTGTGAGTATTATAGCAGCTGTTATAGCTGTATACCGTCTTGAAACAATAATAGAAGAATGTTTGGCTCAGGAAGCATATATGAATCTTTTCGGTCAGTACTTCAACTCGATATTGATATGTGTGCGTTGCTCTATAGATATCAATGAATACCAATTAACTACCGTCGAATATGTTTAGTGAAAATTTTCACATGCTTCATATATTTTAAACTTTGTCCTACATATTCATAAAGTGATGAAGATAGAAAAAACAAACATTTTCATATATCGGAAGGCCTAAAGAAAGAAAGTTCGGTTTAAAAAAAAACGCTGTTGCATTGGTTGATCATTTTTTCTTCTTGCTTCTGGCAGCGCCAAAGACGTTTCCAATAGCATTTTTTAGTATGCCTATTGAAGTTTCACTTTGTCTTGGATGAAGCAATTTAGCATATTCTGAAGTAGTAAAAATTATTTTTTCTAAAGGATTTCGTAAAACACCCACCAGTTATAGCACGTATTTGTTCACGAGGTAACGATGAAAGATGCATATCAGCTTGTATATCAATGTTAGAATACAAGCTTTTTGTGATATTTCGACACGTTCTGGTAATATGTGTTGGATTTTTACAATTGCGTAATTCAGTTTTACTCAAGTTTTAAATCTTACAGATCGTTCTAATTTTTCTTTTTCTGGAATTTTTTTTCAATTTTTTCTTGTTTTCGTTTTTAGGAATGTTTTCCAGGTTTTCAGGTTCAGCAATAAAACGTTGTACTCGTGGTGTATATGATCTATTTGAAAAATTGCTTTTTGATATATTTCTGCAATAAATAACTTACTTCGGTGTCCAATCAACTTGGTACATCTTGATTTGCCTTTTCAAGTAAAGATTTTCCTTCACCAATTCATCATATGACATTTTCAATGTGTGCAAAGCATTTTTTCTTTTTTTATCTATTAAAAACAAATGAATAAGATAAACAAATATGTCATCTTAAATGACCGAAATAAGAGAAAAGAAACTAGATGTTAATAGTTATTGGTTTTCCTCGAAAGTAACACAAAAGATCACCTAGTCCTCTAAAGCAGAGATGGAAGATCTATCTTTCCGTATCTTTAATCGATTTGTGAGCAGACAGGTGCCATCGCTTTATTTATATTATCATGTGACTAAACGTGCTTCGAATACCAATTTTTCTAATTCTGTTGTTCAGAGTATCAATATCCGCAAAATCAGGATGTGTCAAATCCCTCTCACCTTCCTGCAATTGACAAGTCCGCGCTCGGACATTATATTATTCTTCAGAAATAAAAATATTTTAGATCTTTTTTTTTCTATGAATCCATCTTGGCGTAGGCTTACAAAAACCACCGTTTCGAATCACACATCAGACATCAAGTTCTTCTCTAGCTGACTAGAGCACCTCAATCTTCATGGCAATATTCAAAAGAAGAAGAATTACATGTTCATTTCAAATCGTTTGTCGAATCATTTGCATTTTATAATAAATCTTTACTACTACGTGCTTCTAAATATAGTGATTTTAATGCAGGACTCGTTATATCATTTAGTTTTAAAGTTGACGTGAATCCTGAAATTTCAATATTACCTAATGATGATATTGGCTGTGTTGTTGATGGTAGTTTATCATTAGTTGATTTTGAAGAAGTTATTGATGATTTTGTTGATGGTTGTTTATCATTTGAATTTGAAGAAGTTATTGATGATTTTGTTGATGGTTGTTTATCATTTGAATTTGAATGTGTATTTGATGATGATATTAAATGTGGATCATCATTTAAAGTTATTGTTGATGATAATGTTGCATTTTTTTATAATCTAAATTATTAATTCAGCAGTGTATTAGTCAGTAATTCAAGTATTCTATTAAGATAGTGCTCACTTTCAACTGGACATTGACACTGGCTGCTGTTTTCATCAATATACAATTTATTACAACAAGAACTTGAATCAGAAGAATTATCTTTTTGAATTTCATCATTTTCATTTTGTTGAATATCATCGACGATGGACGATTCATCATCTTCTCCTTAAAAAAAGTAAATTTTTATATTCGGTTTCGTCTGATATATCTGTGATATCAAAACGTTTTTTATTAGCAACTGTTGAATTATTTGGATATTTAGTAGGAAATTTCGACAAACCTGTTGCGCTCGAATAATATTTACGGACTAGAAAGATTCGATGATGGATTTTTTTAGATCTATCAACAATTTTACGTTTCTTTGACTTGACCAATGGTTGATGCTTTTGTTTTTTTGTTAACATCATTAAATGATAATATTTATCTAAAAAATGCGACTGTTCAAGACCAGTAACACAGTCAAAATTGATTTTACGAATTTGATAGTTTTAGACAAACATGAAAACGACGAAGAAACAGTAGAAATCTACTGTAAATTTAAATCGATAAACTTTCGTATTGGCGCTCACAAAAAGCAATCGATGGTAACAGATGTCACAAGATTACGTATTGCATTAATTCTATTTCGTATTATGAGCAATCAAATTATGCCAGCATCACACGACTACAAAACGAAATGAAGTTTTTACCAAATTTTTTCTAATGTCTCTTTCTATGAAACTGCATCTCAACCGCGAGATCATTTTTCTGAAAGTATAAACTCTCACACATGCTTGTACGTATAGACTATACCTATATCCCAAGAAATATTAGGATGAAATGGCACAATCATAGCAGAGCATACAACCATAACACATAGGAAAGTAATCAATAACCAACGTTCTCTTGTTAGTGAATAATGATGAATTAGATTGCATCGAGTAAAATCTGTAATAAATATCAGCGTATCATTTAACAGTAATGCATAAAATACAGTCGACCATAAAAATAAAAATCTCAATCAGTAATAATGCATTATTATGCATTAAATATAATCGATAGTGAATATCAGCAGCACATTACAGAATAATACATAACATATATCATAATTGAAAACTATAGTATCTTTTAAGAAAAATGCATCAAATTTAACAAATAATGGAGATCAAAATATGAATCAGAAGTAGTACATAAAAATATAAAAAATGACAGATATCAGAGTAACATTTAATGATATTCCATGTCATGTTAATGTTTAATACATTAACTTTAGTGCTATTGAATGATAATGCATTTTAATGCAATAAAATATGAATGAAAATTACATATGAAATTATCATCTTATATAGCACATTAAATTTAAATAATAATCAACAACACTATTTTTATCTGGAAAAATGCATTAAAGCTCGTTAAAATCTGATTTATAATGGACATCCAAGTAGTTTACAATAAAAATGTCTCATGATGTATTGAAAAAATTTCGAGAGTGATAAATGAGGAAGAGAAACAACACTAAAAAACAATAATATTAACACACTTCATGTATTTGGCATTATTTTTTTTCAACCGAAGAAGCAAGCACTGTATGACTGGCTACATTGGAGACGAGTATAACCCAATGTATATTCGTTCTAAATTAGAAATTGATGGAAAACTATAAGATTAAAAAGTGTAATTGCTATTAATGATTAGGCAATCAATTGCGCCTATTTTGGTAAATCAATGAACCGACTATTGTGATAGAATATATAAACACTGTTGAATCGCAGTCATACTTTGTCATATGCACTCGCTTGAAAAGATAATTCGAAAGACCTCGTGTGATATATTTATTTATTATTTATATATTTTCCTCTTATGAATTCCTCTTCTTTCTCCTCTGATTTATATATATTTTTCTCTTATTTATTATTGTTTTGTTTCTTTCTTTACTAATATTCATAAAAAACTATGGAAAAAAAATAAAAAATTATTAAAATATTTATTATATTTATCTTTGATACTGTCTTCATTAATATACATTAAAAATTCTTGTTGACTTGTTTTATTTAAATAAAAGAAGGCTATTGACAATATCAATGAGCACGAAATCACTGAACTCTGTTGGAACTCAAGGCATTGAACGAAGGTATTGACGAGATTGATGGAATGTCTATGTTGTGTTGTTAATTGGTAGAAAACAATGAAAGTGCACGTGTGTTCTGATTGATGATTGAAAAGTCAATTATGTGATGTTGATCAATTGTTTCTTGTCTTATAATATGTTAATTGATAGATCATCTTGATAGAGCATATATAGCGCTGTGTGACAGTGTCATGCTTCAGAATTTCACTCGCTTGAAAAGATACAATTCGAAAGGCCTCGCGTTAATAATATTGAATTTAATATTAAATATATTTTTTTCCTTATCCTTCTAATCTTTACCTTCATTATTTTTTCCTTTTCACTATCTTTGTTTCCTTTTTACTTTCCTCAAATAATAAAAATTAAAACAAAATTAATAAAAATTATATTAAAACTAATTTTTCTTTTTTTCTTGCTCAAACTACAATTATTCTATTTAATAATATCATGTCTATTTAAATTTGGAACATTTCTTGTTGACTTGCACAATTATAAAAGAATTTGATATATATAATATCGTCGAACAATAACCATTTGATACGTTCGCTCAAAGAGTCAACATGCATGTACAATTTAATATTCCTCACAAGAATGAAAATATTAATCATCCATCTCGTATGTCTACATATTATTCAAACCCAACAACAACATCCTATATTGATTTACGTCCTCGTGTTAATAGTAGAAAACCTGACCTTAATGGTGCAGCACAACGAAAAACATATAATTCTTATCAGAAATTTCAAGCAGGTTCAACCACTACCTTTTCTGGTTATACAAATATATCGACTTATAATAGAAACAACAACATGAATAAGAACATTTTTACACGAAGAACATCACATGAAAATAATAACTATACGAAATCATCAAAAAATAATTACCAAAATAATAATAATAATAATAGATTTTATTCAAATGGCATAAATGTACCTTCTCTTATGACAATAGATTCGTTTCAGTTACCATCACGTCGGAATTGTCGTACAATTCAACAAGCTGAACAATATAAAAATCGATCATCAATCAATCAATATTCTATGAGAAAATTCGACAATAATGATAAACCATTTTCAACAACAACAAAAGCATATAAATTTAATGGATTAATTTTATCAGATTCCATGTGTCGATACGTACGTGAAGAACAGGTGAGTTCGAATGAAATAAAAGTCAATGTATCATTCGAATCAGGCTGCGATTGCAGTCGAATGCTCGATTATTTAAACGACTTAAGTATTAATGAAAATCATTTATTAAATGTTGATTTTATTGTTTTTTCTTTGTGTACCAACGATGTTGCAAACTATGGACCAGATATTGCTATTCAACGTTGTCGACATTTAATTGAACGAGTTAGACAATTATTTCCAAATATAGAAAGTCTAGGATGGTTAGCATTATCACCACGAACTAAGCCATCAAAATTATTTAATTCCTTGGAAATCAATAATAGTAACATAAAATTTAATCAACTTTTACAAAACGTAGCAAAAGCAATGAATTTTGAAATCATCAATGCTAATCTTCAACAACAACACATGCACAACGATGGTTTACATCCATGTATTCAGTCTGGTCGCATTCTTATTGAAAGAAGAATACATAATTGGTTCTTAAAGCAAAAAAATGCCTTTTCTAATTTGGAGAAAAATCATACCTTGAAATTATATCAATCGAATAATAACATTATACAACATCAACAAACATATACAACCAATAATAGATCAACAACAGCAATTCATTACAAACGAAATAATAATGTAAATAATGTAAATGCTCATCATTACGTTAATGTTCATAATACAAATAATAATAATAATAATAATAATGATAATGATCATAATAAAAATAATGTTAATAGTGTTCATATTAAAAATAAGAATTATAATGATAAATATAATAATAATAATAATAAAAGAAATTATAATATGAACGAACAAAACAATAGAAATAGATTTCAAAAAACAACTAACTATGAAATGCATATGAACATAAATGAATACGATATGCAACATCAATTAGAGAAGAAATTAAATTACTATCAACTAAGTAAGATACTAATTCCTCAATATCCTCATTTTTTAAGACATAAACAAGAATTTTTTCGGAAAATACAAATACCATTGGAATTAGAAAATAGAAAAGACGAGATATTTGATTTAAGTAATATACATTAGCAGACAGAATATTTCGAATTAGAATCAGAAAAATGGGAAATATATAAAAAAGCAGCTATGCATAAAAAACAAGTAATTGAACATGTAGAACTAATGGAAACTATAATAGAAGATAATAATAATAATTTGCCAATTATGAGACCATCACCTAGTGGTCTAGCAAGACCACCGGCACTATTAGATTTCACAGACTATCCAGAAGTATTTGATGAATGGTTGCCAGAAGCAACGCCAGGAAAAAAGCGAAAACTCGGACCACGAAGAGATGATCCACCAACACCACCATCTCCTAGACAACCACCACCAGTTGTACCGAGAAAAGCACTACCACAAAGAGACAGTAATGCTGCTCTAATAGGAGGTTCAGTGAATTCATCACCATTCTCGAACGAAAAACAAACAAAGAATAAAAAAGAACATTCATTCAATGCATTGCTTCCTATCGAAAAAGTCAATGAGAAAAAACAACAAAAGATAAGACCAGTAGACAAAACAATAACAAAAGAAAATTCGATAATCATATCTCCAATACATAGTTCTACACCAGAACCAATGGTAGGATCACCATCAGTTGTACCAAAGAATGATGTAATACCAGCACAGACATCATTTCACTTTGCAATAATTCCTATAGAGTGTCGATATTTTTTCAAAACAATAAAACAAAAATGTACATTTGAAGCTATTAAAGCTCATCAAAACTTACTCGAGAAAAGATACAAAACACTGGAAAATGAAAGAGAAAATAAATTACATTCATGTTTTGAAAAACAAGAATGGACTTCAACAATATCATTCGTAAAGAATACTATCGAGAAAGTGCTTGAAAATAAGAAGAAAAACGATCAAAGAAGATTAGATAATCTTCTACTAGACCAAATACGAGAAAAAGCAACACTAGAAATAAAAAATACAGGAACACAGTCAGAGCAACAACACATACAGCGTTCGCATGAAAAATTCATGAGAACACTAGATATAAAATTACAGTTAGATAAGATAGAAATGAGATTTGTGGAAAATATGCCACCACCATCGTTAAACATATTCGATAAATTAGAACTATATGCAAAAGAACTAAAATCGAACGATAACGTTTTAAGTTCACTACGTGAACAGTGGAAAAGCATACTTAGAAAAACAAAACTAGACTTAACAGCATTAATGAGACAAGCTAAAGTAGCTGAACTAAAACAAATCAATGACGAACATCAAAAACTAGTACAAGAAATATCAGAACATCTACGTGAATCATATGACAAGATATGTCATGTATCCCGAACAAGGCACGAATAATTCGCAAAAAGAAAGCTGGTTTTTTTAGCAAAAAGGGCGTGCACAATCAACGAAAACTAGTGCGCGCCCTATCATGACATCACCAAGGTTATACAACATCAAAACTTCATCCACATCATACAGCTATAAGTTTCCCGCACCAGGCTAATAATAAAACAGAACTATTGAGAGATACAGAAGTAAGAATACTTAACTTAGGCTCAAGTTTCGTTCCACCAGCACCGGAACAAGTGTTGAAGAGACTTCCGAAAGAAATACAACAGATGAAAGAGAAAATCTCAGCAACTTGGAGAAGGACAACAAAAAAGATAGGATGAGAACCACCAATAGTAAGAAAATTTGGTGAAAGAATAGAAGAAGAACTTAAGAAAACTGTAGAAACAGAAATAAAAAAGGATACTACAATGAAACAACCTATAGCAACATTTAGAAAAAAGTCAAAAAGAAAAAAATATCATCTTCAGAAAAACTGATAAATCAAAAATATTCCATATAGACACGAGTGGCAACTATATAAAGAAATCAGCTGCATATATGGAAAAAACCAATGTGTATGCAGAAATGGAAACATCTCCACTGAGAGAAATGCTAGATAAAACAGATAGTTTCTTACGTAACCTAGTTTCGAATAAGCAAATGCCACAATATATGCTAGAAAGATTACGACCATCGCAAAAAGATTCAGAATTACCTCATCTTTACTACAATCCGAAGGATCATAAAATCGGAGAACCGTTACGGTCTATAGTGAGCGGAATAAAATCTCCGCTGGCAAAGATATCTAGTTTTCTAGATCAAAATATACGATCAATATTCGACAAACACATTACCTACTCGCTTTCGAATTCGATAGTCTTTCTAAAACATCTAAAGAATTTTGAAACAACATCAGAAACATACATGTACACATTCCATGTTACAGATCTATACACAATGATTCCACAGAAGGATGCAGTATTAGCAGTGTGCGAATTCTTAGGAAGACACGGATATAAAAAAATTCAAGGATTGCCTATAAATACAATCAAAGCATTATTTTTACATGTATTAGAAAATTCTTATTTCGTCTTACAACTACTATGATTAGAACCTAAATACTATAAACAAACACGAGGAGGACCTATGGGATCCGCATGTACCCAAGTATTAGCAGACATATACGTAAGAAAATGGGAAAGTGATTTTGTACACAAAACAACAGCAAGAAAACGAATTATATTTCAGATTCAGAGACGATGTATTTATAACTACGAGACTAATGTCACAACAAATAGAAAATAGATTATCAGAACTAAACCAGAAAGATTCTAACTTAAAAATAACATGGGAAGGAGGAAAAAAGGTAGACTACCTAGACGTCACAACAGAAATAGAAACTCCTAATTTTAAAACAACAGTGTTTCGTAAGCTAGCAGCACAGCCATGCGTGCTACCATTTCATTCATCACATCCTAAGCACATTACGAGAAATATACCACACGCAGCTGCTCTATGAGCAACTCGTATATGTTCACACCGTGATGATCTAAAAAATGAACTGGATAGAATTAGAACCATGTTATTTCTAAATAAGTATCCACCAAGGTTCATAGATAGATAAATGGAACGTTTCTTTCAAGAAGTGACGAAAGAGAAGACAGGAGATCTACTATTAGATGTAGACCATCACAAAGTATCGAGAAAAAGTGCTCGATCCCACATGGAATCAAAAAGAAAAAAGAAAATAGATTTTAATAAAGACGTCTTAGCACACTTTACATATAAACCATCTCTAACACATCTTGGCACCCGGTTCCACCAGATATGGCAAGAGATATTTGAAGGGACACCGCTCGATGACATACCAGTAATGTATGCAAATCGATTAACAGACAGTTTAAGACACATATTAGTAAAAAAAACGACCAACTAAAGAAGCAATAAGACTACTAAAAACAACATCCGATATAGATAGTAAATGATAATCATTTTTTCATTTCTCACTTTCGATATAATAACATATCAAATAAATAACTGTACTGATTAAAAAGTATTCTTTCATCTTCATATAACGAATTTTAATTTTCTTACCATAATTTCGCATAATAAAAAAACTTACTTTTCTCATTCGCAATATTTTCATTCTCAATATTTTCATTCTGAATTTATTTTTTCTTATCATATTCTCGCATAATCAAAAAAACTTATTTTTCTCATTCGCAATATTATTCACTCGTAATATCTCCATTCTCAAACTTCACACTATCATAATCAAATTTCTCATCATTTTTTCAAAAAATTCTTTTTCCATATTTCATCGTCATAAAATTTCTACATTTATATTCATGAACCGACCACTCTCCCACGAACATGAATATGGACATTAACACAAATTAAAATGAAATATCTATGTATATATCTAATAGTTTATATGATCATATACACGTTTACCTGCATAACTAAATGTAACGATGAATGCGGAGAGCGTCTAAATTCCACGCGGGAGTGTAACGCTCCCGTTCGAGTGTGGTCTGTGCATGGTATTTGGCCTTATGGTGCCATCTCTTCTCATCACATATATTGCCTTTATCTCTCATTCTTCTTCGTTCTCTCAAATAGTTGAGTATTTAAGCGTGTGCTTTATATGTAATCGGGGCGGCTTTATGATTTGAAGAGTGAAATAAAGTGTAATACCACCAGCACAGGCTTCTCTTCTATCTAAAATCGTTACAATTGGCGACCTTGGCTATTGATCCTGTCACTCTTCTGCCCGAAGTCAAACATTACCATCTTGGTCCACAACAACATTCTTACAACGCCTTTTACATTCAACAAAATGAATTAAAGTTACAGTACCGATCATGTTCGACATGTAGGATTCATTAAGATGATGTAGAGACGGTAGTGCTACTGAGGGTGACAGTAGTGCTATCGCAGATCAGCACACGTATTAAAGGGCGGCTTGGATCCCAGCCGACTGTGCGTAGTCCCAATGCACTTTCCTTATAATATCTATACGTATTGTGTTGTATCGCCTCGACTCACTCTATGATTCAACTTTATTTGCCAACTTTCCCTCACACGGGTCATACATCAAACGAAGTCTAATAACATAATTTGTTTGCACACGATTCATCTGTACTTCGTATCAAACTCTCAACATATGCTGTTTGTTTCGTTTTCTCTCTTTTTATGTTTCGTCATGACTCTCTCTCCATAGTTTCTTTTATACTCTCGTGAAAATTTCTTTTCTTAGTTTAATTCATGAGTCGCTCTTTTGTTGTTACTAGCAGACGCCCAGGAGTGCGTCTGATTTGGACGTGGGAGTGTAACGATAAATGCAGAGAGTGTCTAAATTCCACGTGGGAGTGTAACGCTCCCGTTCGAGTGTGGTCTGTGCATAGTATTTGGACTCATGGTGCCATTTCTTCTCTTCACATATATTACCTTTATCTTTCTGTCCTTGATATTTGTCTGTATCTCTCATTCTCCTTCGTTCTCTCAAATGGTTGAGTATTTAAGCGTGTGCTTTATATGTAATCGAGGCGTTTTATGATTTGAAGAGTGAAATAAAGTATAATACCATCAGCACAGGCTTCTCTTCTATCTAAAATCGTTACACTAAATATCTACTCGTCTTTCACATCTACTCATCTTTCACATTATTACCAATCAACGACCTATCTTAAACAATAACTGACAATTTCGCTTGAAAAAGATACAATACGAAAGGCTTCGCGTTTATTTATTAATATTGAAATTAATATAAAATGTTTCTTTTCCTTCATCCTTCTAATCTATACCTTCATTATCTTTTCTTTCTCACACTGTTACCTTTGTTTCCTTCTTACTTTACTCAAAAATTAAAATTTTAAAAAATTAAAAATAAATCATTTTTCTTGTTTCTTGCTCAACCTACAATTGTTCTACTTAATAATATCATGCCTATTTACATTTGAAATATTTCTTGTTGACTTGTACAATTATAAAAGAATAGCGAATAGAAAGCTTGCTTTTTTTTAGAACATGTAATTTATTCTAAAATTGAATCAGATACTACTCAGGTCTTCATTCAACAAATAGCCGAGATTCATACATTACATTTACAACGATCATCTCTCAAAAATTTTACAAGATCATATCGAATAACGTGTGACGAACATTCCTCTGCATCATTAGAAATCTACATCATTCTAGTAAAGTATCTTTTATAAATAGAGTTTCGTTTGAATTGAAAGAATCAAAACTCCAATCCAGTACTTATTCTGCACAAAGTGTTTCAGTCACAATTATTGATTTTAGCAAAATGCTTTTTAAACAGAAGATATCTCTTCGATACGTGATAGTTTTTTATCGTGTCTCTCGTTCTTGTGGATCTACTTTGGCTTCATTTATTTGGATGTGATCATTATTCAGACGATGACGAAGAAAGTAAGACATATTTATTATTCCAGAGAAATCCCAAACTATTGTCTGTAAATTTAGATCATTTGACTGCTTTTCTTCCAGATCCACATCCAATCGATGTACGCAAGAGTTATTCCTGTTTTGACATTGAAGATCTTCTACTAATCACCAAACTGCCTAAGGTACTATCATGGATCGAATTAGACAATCGGTCGAATAAATATATATCTTCTCCAAATCCTATTCATCTAATTACTCAATGGTATCATGAACAGAACCATCGACGGCGTCGTGAACTTCTAACCGTTTTACAAATGAATTTGTTGAATGATGCTGTTACTTCTATTCATTTTATACAGTATTCAAAGAATTGCACTGTTTATGATGATATTATGTTAGATCCGAATTTTCGTGTTGATCTTCTGAAACTTAAGCTAATTATCTCCTATCAAACAGAAGTCAATGAGACAGAAAGATTAACTGTTAGTAAGGCATTGAAGTATGCCAATGGAGTAATATCCCGTGGCTATGCAGTTGTGCTCAATCTGGATANCGCATTTGTTATACTCGTTGATACCACGTGAGACACATTAAACTATGGGTGTGGGTGTGTGGGTGTGTGGGCGGGTGGGCGTGTGGGCGTGGGGGTGAAATAGCTACCAAGACGCGTTTCGTCCCTGCTAAAGGACTCATCAGTTGGCTTATTCTATTTAAGTTTTAAATAAATAAATAAATAGATAGATAAATTTAAATAAAATAAATTTAAAACCAAAGAGCTGAACTAGAATTCGTTATTATAATCAAACTTTAATGTGAAAACTAAAATTTGTTAATAATAGAATGAAAATGTTTTGGCAGTAGTGGGAAATGTTGGTATTGTGAAAAATAGCTGGTGGGATTTATATGGTTGTTTGGTAGGTGAAAAAATTCTGAATTAGTCTTTAATGGAACATTTTCAATTCTCACTTTTGTTTTATTAAGTATTCGAAATCGTGTTAGAGGAATGAATGAGATAAATAGTTCGTTGAGTAGACATTGTTTGTGGATGTAGATGATGATGACGTTGGGTTCATATTTGTTTATTTGCTGTTTGATTCTGTGCTTTGGGTCGACGATGCCTGTTCTTCTCGCGGGTTTCATCTAGAATGAATAAATCATTGTATGATTTTTGAAAACTACTTTATTTTTGAAGTTTGTCTTACTTGCTTTAGCTTTGTTTTTCACTATTGTATTTGTCGGACGTTTTTGAATCAATTCTTTCATTGTGTTTTTGCGATTATTGTTCCCAACTATCAGTTTCGTTTTTCTCGTGTGTATAATGAATTATTAGTATATTTTGAAGTTTGTTTGGATTCTTATTCTTTTGAATGATGAATTCTTCTTTTTTATCTAAATCTTCAACTAAATGGTCATTATCATTCGTAAGTGTTGCAATTCTCATTTCGACTTGAGATTGTTTTCGACTTGGTTGTCCAGATAATCCGTTACGCATTTGTATGAACTGAGCTTCGTTATCAAAAAATGGGCGAAATGATTGAGATGTTACGTAGCCAGAGAAGAATTTTCGGAATGTCTTGTCGATAAATGAAGAAGGATAACTATAGAAT